TAAGGAAGTAATTTTCATAAAGAAGGATCTGGTATGAGATGGTTCATGATCAGCATTTAAAAATAAGTGAAATTAGTATTTATGAAGCATAAGCTGATAAGCTTTAAATGAAGCGAAACTGAAAACTTGATGTTACTTTGAAATTAAAAACTCCCTAAAACTAAGTTTATATAATGAAATTATTTTTTTCCAAATTCTGTTTGCCATATTTAATTTTTAATTCTATTCACCATTTTAGATTTTTTATTTTTGACCTTTGATTCGAAGAAAGCATATAAAATTATCGCATAGTGATGATTTCAAATGAGATTATCAGTTCAAAGTAATAAAGTTGAGTGGTTCATACATAATTTTTTTCTATTCAATTCCTCGCACGTAAATAAAGTATCCATATGCCTCAAGAACTTTATTTTTTTGTCGTATATCCCAGAATATCAATTCTTTTTTTTGTCTTATTTCGTTAACTTCGAGTTAAATTTTCGTTTTAAATCCGTCATTTCTCTTATTTTATTTTTCTTCTGTTTGTTTTCTTGAAATTTATCAACATTCCTTCATATAAAAACATAAATAATCACTCTTGTGCATTTTTGCAATTTCAATATATTTTTTAAAGCAAATCATATATTTTGAAATTTAAAATGTCAATTAAAAATCAATTGAGGAATATTTCAATTGATATAGAGAGATAGATAGAGAGAAAGAGAGAGAGAGAGAGAGAGAGAGAGAGAGAGAGAGAGAGAGAGAGAGAGATTAATTTAATAAATTTAAAACGATACTTTACTGTTCATTCTAAAAAAGATCGATTCTTCAATTTCTAAAAAAATTACTTATTGTTAATATATTTTTAATATATATATATTTTTAATATATATATATATATAATAGCTAGGAAAATTAATAATTAAGTTATTTAATAATTAAGTTATATAAAAAAATTCAGTTATTTTTCTTTTCTTGCATAATATTATATTTGCATCAGACTTACACATTCATGCAGAAAATACGCTCGTATTTTTTTCGAATCAGCAATTTTTTTACGTGAATTAAATCGAAATTATTTGTTCAACAAATTATGCTGATAATCAAAAGCATTGCTGATTCGAATCAGCACAACGAATCATTGCCGTCAATCTAATCACAAATATGTACTTAATACTTCCTTCGATATAACGAGATGTTGATTTCGCAATAGATAATCTGTTTCGATAATGGTCTTCTCGATGCGGAAAAACATGCATTTATTACAGATTATTTCTATGAACAACACAAATAGAGTGAACATTATAAAAACGTTTGCAAAAGAATTGCGAGGAATTTCATGGACAATCTTGATTAATTAATTTTAATTTGCAATTCTTCATCCTTTCCTGTATATAATTAGTTATAATAAATGGAGTGTTGCAAGAAACAATCGTATACTTTTTCTGGATTGCGCCAATGTTATATGTTTTAATGAAAAGAATAATAATAATTTTTACTTTATTTTAAGTACTACATATCGCTTTAATTAAATTTAGCTTTTT